TCTTTCCCTCTCTGATAGTCCAACTTTGACCACCGCCCCCAGGCCCTACCAGCTTGCTGGCCAGGGCTGGGCAGAGAAGGTGGCCAGTGCCATGGATTGGGGTCACTGGTGGATTTGGTGTTCCCTGTTTAGGTGATAGCTGGAGCTGAGTGTGAGGTGGTGGGAATAGAAGGCTGAGGAATCCAGGGTCACCACATGCCTAGGAATTTCTGACACAGCTCCTCTGTCTGGGTAGGAAAGAGTACCCAGTTTCTAGGGTAGCAGTTTGGCTGGAGCTTGGGAAACTAAGCACGTGATTTGACTGCGCTGTTGTCTCTTTAGAGATGTAAAGAGACATCTCTTGTGTTGCATCATGCAGGTCAGACACAGGGTATAGCAGTCAAGGTCATACCAGTTGTAGGGTGACCAACCATCCCAGTTTGCCCAGGGCTGAGGGGTTTCTCCAAGATACGGGACTTACAGTGCCGAAACTGGAACCGTTCCGGGCAAACTGGAGCCTATGAGTCTATCCCAACGTTAATTCCTGCCATTTCTAGGAAGGCAGGATTGGTCAGTTTAAAATTTGTTTATTTTGCGTGCCAGATCCCTTTCTCCCAAACATTAAAACATTCAGAAGTATCAGCAGAAGAAGCAATCACAAAGGGGCAACATACGGTCCAAGGAGTCCATACAGAAGAGGGGTAGCGCTATCCCAACAACTGTGCTTAGGGGTTTGAAGGAACAGGGGACAGACATCTTTTGGATGGTTGGTTGTGTATGAGCCTCAATTATAGTATTATTATTTTGTTACTAGCTTGCTGCCTATCAAAGTCACTGCCCAATTCCTGAGGTTCCAGGAGGCTGGAGCATGGGGATCTTCACAGGAGATATGATAAGACTATTTGTGTATCTTATACTCCAATTTTTTCAGTCCTTGAGTTACTTTCATTTCATGGAAATTAGTTTTGGAGAGAAGGTTCTTATCTCTGGAATATCAATGGATGATTTTAAAATCTACATGGCTAACCTTTATCTTCCTCTGATCTTGTACATTAGAGTTCTAGTGTCCTGACATTTCTGTGTGGATATCCTGCTTTTAACACAAGGCTGCCGCACTTGAAACAAGACTCCCCACTTTCTCTGTACTCTTCCAAACTAAGTCACCTTCTCAATATTCTTATTTCTAGCGGTGGCATCTCCATTTTGCCTGTTCTCTGGGTTTGAAATATTGTGACATTTTCTTTTAGAGGTCTTCCCTGACCTGTTTATCACACCATTCCCTGCCCAACGCCCTGCTTTATTTTCCTTCATAGCACTTCGTACCTGGCTTTACATTGATGTAATTATTGGTTTGCTTTTTGTTGTCTTCCACACCCACCTGACACTAACCTTTATGAGGGCCAGAGTTTTGTTTTATTCTTCACTGCGTCCCCAGGACCCAGTATAATCCTTGGCACATAGCAGGTCCTTAATAGGTAACTATGGGATTAATGAATGTCTTCCCCATTGGACTGGCAGGGGATAGACTATGTTTATTAAGTTTGCATGCAGTCAGACTTTTAGTGGATACCCAAGAAGGATTCAGGGTTTATTTGTTTTTGGTTTTGTTTTTTTTTGACAGTTTTTTTTTGTTTTTTGTTTTTGCCTTTAGTCCTTTCGTCTCTAATCCATCTCAAACACTACCACCAAATAAATCTCCCTAAAATTAAATTTTTATTCTTTTTTTTTTTTGTGGTATGCGGGCCTCTCACTGTTGTGGCCTCTCCCGTTGTGGAGCACGGGCTCTGGACGCGCAGGCTCAGCGGCCATGGCTCAGGGGCCCAGCCGCTCCGCGGCATGTGAGATCTTCCTGGACCGGGGCACGAACTCGTGTCTCCTGCATCGGCAGGCGGACTCTCAACCACTGCGCCACCAGGGAAGCCCTAAATTTTTATTCTTAATTGCCTTTTTCAAAGCCCGGATGATTTCTCATTGCCCACGTGACGAACTTTTGGATTCTGCACGTTAAATTTACTTGATCAATATTCTTGGACCCAAGACCTCTATCATCTGATCTTCCCTACTCAACTAACTTCAGATACTATTCTTCTCCAACAAGAATCCTTTGTTCCACAGATGGGTTTCATACAGCCCAAGAAACAATTCCTTCTCATTGCTGCTGCCTCACCTTTGCTCCCCCTCTTCCTCCTACCCGAAAAGCTCTTCTCTTCTACTCTGTCTTCCTCCTTTCAGGTCATGTGCTCCAAGAAGCCCCCACCGCCTGTGCCAGCACACTCTGCTCTTTCCTTTCTGTGAATTCCAGCTGCCTTTGTGGCTGGGACTGCACAGGTTGGCACTGCATTATGCATTGTTTTATACAGCGCTCTCATTGTGTCCTGTGCGCTTGCCCTGTCTCTGCAGAAGACCAGGTCTTTGTACCTTTCACGGTGCTAAGGTATAATAGGGGTCCAGTCAATGCTAATGACATTGACCTAAAAGTCAGAAC